TTTTTTTTTTTTTTTTTTTAAGCTGTTAGATCAGTTCAGTGAGCATGTGGGTCAGACTGGGTGTCTGGCTCTGTGCTAAATGGGGAAAATGCTAGGAGAGTAGTGTGCCTGGATCACAGAGCAAGGTCTGGGGTAGACTCCACGCTGCTGGTGGACAAGGTGGGAGATTGTGACCTGGGGTTCCCAGTTCCAACCAGGGCCTGGCTGGCATTGGGTCTGGGTAAAGTCTTTACCAGCCCTGGGTCAGATTGAGACAATTAAAAATGCAGCTTTTTTCCATAAAGCTAAATTGATTGGATTTGAAGGATTGTGCTTTATTTTGAGATTATGTCCTTTCGACTTCTTTGGTAGGTCCTTTTGTTAAATGATAGTAATAGTAACTGTGGCTTTTTAAAAAGTTTTTAAGTTAGCAAAATGAAAGATTAAGAAGTCTTTTGGTTCCCTGAATAATTTTTGTAGTTTACCTGATTTGTGAAATCTGAACTGGAAATCACTCAATTAAATTATTATAACATTGTAAGTACAATTTAGCATCAGTTATTTTGTCAGCCTGGGAGTCTCCACTGTCCTCTGAAAAATGCAGCCTCCCTCTTTTAATGAATGGATTTTCCCATCTCTGTCCAGCCTTGTGTTCTAGTGCGGCCACCCCCAGTCTGCAGGCACCAGCACAGGTTTGCTGTGGTATTTTCAGATTGGTACTAAGCGCTGTCTTTGTGGTAATGCTGCCAATGACTAGGTCCAGAGAATCTGTCCAAAAGAGAGAGGCAAACACTGAGGGTTCCATTTTCTGGAAGTCCAGCTAACACAAAAGCCACAGACTGCTGCTTTTTACTAAGCTAGTTCTGGGGAAGTGTGTGCCATTTTCAGCTAAGGTCTGTAACTGATGTATAGCTTACAGGTGACTCGTAGCAACCCTATCAGGTAGGTACCAGTTGTCTTCATTTGACAGGTGAGAGGCTGTAGTTGCAGATGTTAACCTGCCTAGTGTCACCCCACTAGCAAGGGCAGAACCCGAAATCTGAGCCCCACTCCCAGCCTTTAACCACTAAGTGGCAGGGCCTACCTGACTGCACAGGTGTTGTTCGGGTGCAGGTTATGCTTTGGAACCGGATAGAGTGGATTGGGTGTCAGCCTGGGAGTTCTCCAGTGAGGTAAAAAGAGCTCTGTCCTTGGCTCTGTCCTTTCCGCACCACTGACAGATTTCGCCCAGCTTGAGGAGCAACCATTTTAGCTGCCAGAAAGTGGAATGTCTTGGGAGGCAGGGGACTTCCTGTTGCTGGCCGTGCTGAAGCAGAGGCTGGTGGAGTGCCAGCCGCCTTGTCGTGAGGATGTGAGATTTGCAGCGAGTGGAGCTTGGTGGCCTCTTCTCTCTTCTGACTCTGGGACCTGATCTTAAGGCTCCGTGAGGGGCGGGGAGGAGGACTTGAAATGTGTGGCTCACAGCGAGTTAATTGTTGGGCAGGTACTGACCTCATGGTCCGTTTCTGGCAGAGGAGTGAAAAGCTGGGAAAGACAGAATCCTGCCCTAGACCATATCAGTTCAGTGGGGAAATGCTCCAGTAAAGGAAAGCAGAGGTGGTGAAGGTCACCTGAGCCAGATTTGGGGGAGGGGAGGCAGATCTGGAAAGGACTCCTGCTCTGCGTCTTGAGTGCCCGCCAAGCCTCAGCCCCTGTGCTCAGGCCTCGTGTCAGCTCTACTCTTCCCCTCTACCCATCGGCTGTGCCAAGGGCATTTTCATTACTGAGATGCACTATTCCATCGATAATGAATGCACTGATTGTCAGAGGCCTTTGTAATCAGATCAGAAAAGCACACAACCATGGGGCCATCTGGAAAATGAAAACAGCCATTGTTGGGTGGACTCCTGTGTATTTTTTTCATAGTCATTGCGCGTGGGCCATTTATGTGCTGTTCTGTTTTCTGCTTCACTGTAAGTCCTATTTCCTCAGGTGGATTATGCATCCCTTAGGTAAAGACTTCCTCTTTCAGATGTTTGTGACGTTTAATACCTTCTTGTAGATAAGCTTTAGAGATGATTGTAGACTGATTTTTTTGTAGCATTTTGATTCATAGATACATTGCTTTAGAAAGAACAAAGGACTTGGACCCATGAGCAGTGCAACCAGCTGCGGTACCTGAGCACTGGGGTTTGCACTGCCCCTCGGAACTGAGAGCGGGGAGCTCTCCGTGCCCTGCGCTGGCCGCCGCCGTGGTGTAGCCAGCATGTTGTTACTCACTTCCTCACTTCTAACCATCAGTGTGTCTCTACCTTGAAGCTCCTGCTCAAAACTGTTTGTGAACCTCCATAAATAAAATCCTTAAACAGCTCAAATCCAGACTCTCTAACCTCCGTGATTTGCTGACGCTCCACCTTGCTTACCTCTGCACTGATTATGTATAAAGGAGTCCCCTTTATCTGTGTTTCGCTGTCCATGGTTTTAGTTACCTGCGGTCAAACAGTCTGGAAATACTACATGGAACATTCCAGAAATAAACAATTCATGCATTTTAAATTGTGCGCCAGTCTGAATAGTGTGGTGAAATATCTCACTGTCCTGCTCCTCCCAGGACATGAATCAACCTTTTGTCCAGAGTCTCCGTGCTGTGTGTCACAGTCACTTAGAGAATTGTTTTGAGACTATAATTGGAATCTTCGTGAAGTGGTAGGTGTTTGGAGCTTGTTAGCAAACAGGTTCTATCTGTTTTGGTTAAAGGTTTTTATACTAATAGAAATAGACAGACTAGATCAGTACCTTAACTTTCCTGTCATTGACCCTGGAGACGACTGCTTCAGATGTCTCTGGGTCTAGTGGAGTTTAGACCTTGAAATTAAGAATTTATGATAGCCACCCTGGCAGGTTTGGCTCAGTGGTCAGAGCGTCAGCCCGCAGCTGAAGGGCCCGGCTTCCATTCTGGCCGAGGGCACATGCGTACCTTAGTTGCAGGCGGGACCCCTGGCCCAGGGTGGGGCTCATGTGGGAGGCACCCAGTCAATGTGTTTCTCACATTGATGTTTCTCTCCCACCCCCCCTC